CAGAATCTAAAGTGGGCCAGAGACTTCGAATTCAATGCTGGAATGGAGGAAGAGGGGGTGTACCTGCAAGGCACTCTGATTCTAAAGTCAATAGGAGCACAAAGAGATACAAGAGAGGGATTAGGGTTTTAGTGATGAATATTAGATATTCGATACTTGGCTCTCACATGTGTGAGGGTTTATATAATGCCTTGGGCGCTTGGCCATTGGTCCCTATTTTTGGGCCTAGATACACGGGTCCGCAAAAATAGGTAACTGCCAGGACTCGATCAAAATGGGTAGGTGTGTCCGTAACTAGCCGTTAGATCCAATGAGGAGGCGGATTACGGGCAGATGATCATTCTGGACATTTCCTGGTTGTCTGCTCGACTCGTGTTGGGTTGATGGAAGACAACTGCTGATTGGGTCAGGCATGCGTGTCGGGCATAATTGGTCATGTGCTTAGGGGTATGGTCGAACAGGATGTTAGGCCACTATTGTTGGGTCGTGCCAAGGGTAGAAGCAGATTAGGCCAATTCTAGTCATTGGGCCAGTGCGGAACAGAAGCCCTCCCAAGTTATTGCTTCTAGGCATAAGAGTGATGACTTAGAGTCAACCCGTGTGCCGAAGAGGAAAACGTGATGTTCACGCTTGTTGTTCACAATAGGGACGTTTCCTGATCTTTACAAGGATATTCTCGTACATGGTATATTGTTATTTATTAGGTTTATGCATGTTTGTATGCTTGTCTGCCTAAGATGTTTTATTTTGATTAAGAGTTTCGGGGGTTTACTCGTTAGTATTTGAGTTCGCCAGTGTAGATGACTGATCGAACGACCAGGGTGATCACCTATCATGGATCGGAACTCACGTCTCGTTTTAAGGGCCCGAGCTCGGCGGCGTGAACTTCCTATCGCAAGTTGGGTGTTCTACCATCATGGTACGACGATGTTGGAGCTCGTTTGAGTTTTCCACGTCGGGCTAAGAATTTGCTTGTTAAAAGAGTGGAGACTTGCCTCTTTATTTAATTTGAAGCTTCATGCTTGTACCTGGACATGCACATGTGGTCGGGAAAATTATGTTCTTTGTTTCAACGAGACACTCCGACTGTACCAGTGTCTTAACTGTAATATTGCCTTAGTTTTTTGGTGTTCCAAGGTCGAACAAGTTGTTCCCCGTGCAAGTTTTCGAGATAGTATGTGCCATTTTTGTTTTTACTCGGACACTATAGTATCTCTTGGATGACAGACTTGATCCGCCTCTCTTCTTTGTGCTCACGAGCTTCGACAAGATGTCTGCTTGGTGTTGCACTCATGGGGAACATGTGCCTGCTCAGCAACCGTGTTCACAGGGAATATGTGCATGCTCGGAAGTTGTGTTCGCGGGGAATATATGCCTGCTAGGATGGAGTGTTTGTGGGAAACGTATGTCTGCTCTGCAGTTGTGTTCGCGCGGAACATGTGTCTGCTGAGCAGTTGTGTTTGTGGGGAATGTGTGCCTGCTCAACAGCTGTGTTCGCTGGGGACATGTTCCTGATGAACATTTGTATTCGTAGGGAACATGTGCCTTCTCGACAATTGTGTTCGTTGGGAAATATGTTTGTTGAGAAGTTATGTTTGTGGGGAACATGTGCCTTCTGAGCAGTGGTATTCGCGGGGAACATGTGCCTTTTTATGCCATTCTCTTGTCGGGGAGGCTGGTAAGGTCATTTCTGCTGTGATGCCAGCGACACTTTCTCCTCATACTGGATGTACGTATGGGCTTTAAGGAGAAGATCGTCTAGTGTGGCCGGTGTTTCTATGCCAATTGCTTCAGCAAAATCACTGCGGGGGCGCAAACCTCGCTCGAGCAAGTACTTTTTCATATCGTCAATCGTGGAGACCTAAATGGCTTCTCTATTGAACCTCTCAATGTATGCTTAGAGAGATTCTTCTTTTCCTTATATGATCGCTTCTAGCGAGGCCTCTGTCTTCAGATGACGACAAGTGGTAATGAAGTGCCTTGAGAACATCTTCCCCACTATTTCCACGAGGTGATGGATTCGTTGGGGAGGTTTTTGTACCAAGACATTGCTCCTTTTCTTAAAGTTGTTGGGAATAACCTGCACTTAATAGCGCATATAATGCCTCGGTAGTTGAGCAGGGCGTCAATGTTTTCGACGTGCTCGTTGGGGTCAGTTGCCCCATCATACGTTCCCAAGTTTGGAGGTTTCTCTAGTCTGACGGGGAAGGGAGTATCCATGTTAGCCCGGGACAATAGACCGCAAGGGTCTTCCTTATTGCTCCAGCTCGGTGATGGTGGTGGAGAAAAGTTACGCTTCCGTCGTTGGGGACAATTGTCTCGTAGAGGAGACGGGCTTCTCGATCTGCCCTCTAGTTTCTTGGCCACTAGGGAGAGCTAGTCTCTTTGAGGAGGGGTTTGATTGTGTTTCTTTATTGCCAAGATATGAGCTATTTCTTTCCCCCAATGATGATCATGTCGTCAGGGAGACATGATGTGTGATCTTTGTCGTTTCTGCTTCTGAGGGGTAGACTTTGACCGATGAGCAATTTCCAACACCCCAATCATCTCGCTTTATTGGCAGATTAGGGAGTTGGTCTAGTTGAGAGTTGCGAGCAAGGCAGCCATAGTAGGTTCAGCATTGGGCGGAGCAGGGATTGTCTGCATGTTCTCCAGTGCTCCTTCTTGAGCTTTCTTGATCTCGTGAGCTTCGATGTCGACCTCTTCCGCCTTGTTAAAGGATAAGGAGGCGGTGCGACCATCCCTCAATGGGATGACCTCTTCAAGAAAGGGCATCCAGAACAGTCATTTGCCTTGCAGACAAGGGAGATTATGGGTTTGTGAGCATTATTGTTGTCGTCAAAGCTGGCCATGAATGGAATCTTGATTATCTGCTTTGATCTTTGGTTTCTGGGGAAAGAAAGACGGGGAGGGAAGGTTTCCATAGACAGTGCCATTGATCTTACCGGTTGATCAGAACCTGAAGTGATCCAGAGATTTTGACTTCAATACTGGAATAGAGGAGGAGGGGGTGTACCTGCAAGACACTCTGATTCTAAAGTCAGTAGAAGCACAAAGAGATACAAGAGAGAGATTAGGGTTTTAGTGATGAATATTGGATATTCGATACCTGACCCTCACACGTGTGAGGGTTTATATAATGTCTCTGACGCTTGGCCATTGGTCCCTATTTTTGGGCATAGGTATACAAGTCCGCAAAAATAGATAACTGTCAAGACTCGGTCAAAACGAGTGGGTGTGTCCGTAACTAGCTGTTGGATTCAAGGAGGAGGCAGATTACGAGTAGATGGTCGTTCTGGACGTTTCCTAGTTGTCTGCTCGACTCGTGTCTGGCTGGCGAGAGACAATTGTTGACCGGGTCAGACGTGCGTGTCGGGTAGGGGTGGCAAACAGGCACGCCTGCCCCGTTTAGGCCGTCCCGCAAAAGTCCGCAAAAAAACGGGACGGGGCGAGCATATTTGAGGATGAAAGCCTAAAATCTAGGCTCGCCCCGCAAAAAAATAAGTGCGGGGCGGGGAAAGCCCGCATGTACTGCATCTTTTAGGCATAAAATACAAAATTTTATGCTAATAATCATGCCCGCGAAGAAAACGGGACGAAGCGAGGCGGTCACATTAGAGTGTGAGGGCCTAAATTCTTGGCCCGTCCCGCACTAAAATGCGAGTGAAACGGGCATGCCCAACGGACCTGACCCGTTTTGCCACCTCTGGTGTTGAGCATAACTGGTCGTGTGCTCAGGAGCGTGCTCGATCAGAATACTGGATCACTATTATTGGATCGTGCCAAGAATAAAAGTAGATTGGACAAATTCTAGTCATTGAATCCGTCCGGAACAATTAACAATTAAATAAAAAAAAATTATCTGAAAATTATATAAAATTTATTACAAACATATAATTAATATTTTTAATTATTTTTTTAAAACAAACTTTTTATAGATTTAGCAGTACCTATAATAAAACAAATGAAAATTTAAACCACTCACCAAATACATAGTACTCATCGTTTTATGGCTTAAAGGCAAAAATAAATCCAGCCAATAAGACTATCTTATTTTTGGGTCATTCCCTCAAGAAAGTGATGTTCCTCTTCGTTATCATAACAAATATTGATGATTGTGCATTTGTGTCATCATGAAAAATGACACCAAAATATCAAAGAAAAGGTTGAATTTTTCTCTCCTTTTGCATCCTTCTAGAAGAGTTTCTTAATGCATCATTTGTATTTTTTTAGATATAAACATGAAATTTGTATTTCTTAAATATATCCCTAAAAATCGAATTCGAGACGCATTAAAAATATCCAAAACTATAAATATATTTTTGGTTTATATCCTTTTTTGTTTTGACGAGGGTTGTAGTGTGTCCTGTAAATAAATTTTTGAGGGATAATTTCAAATTTTTATAAGATTTCTTTTCCCTTTTAAGGTGGGATAAGAAATTCTCTTCTTCTAGAAACTTATATGGGCTAGAAAAAAAGCCCGTATTTATAACCCATTTGAAAACTTAAGCCCATTCTTCTTTGACGTTGACGTGACCCTGCAATGAAAACCCAATACATCTTATCCAAACTTTTGAGGTCACTTTTCTTTTCTCGTCTACGCAAGTATTAATTAATTAATTATTACTATTAATACAAGAATATTCTCTCTTCACTCAAAAACGCACCAATCAAAGGATATTAATTTTAATTTCACTAATTTGATGAATTAAATGCCTTTTTTGTCGCCAAGAAAAACCGGATATAATTAAAAAAAATACTCGTAATTCCAATATACTCGCACAGGGGCAAAATAGGGAAAACAAAAAAATGGATACACAAACACAAGACAAGAAAGTACATATACGGGCACTTAAAATTTGCAACTGCATTTCTCCTACTTCTCCTTAACGAGAAACGGGAGAAAGAAAACCTTACAATTTTTTATTTCCATCTTTGTCCCTAGTCTGAAAATTTCTTCTCTTTCAACACTGAGTCAAAAAGAACCCGACTCGGTCGATATGGTATCCGAATCGGAACTCATCGACCGCCTCCGCCAGTTCCTCGGTAGCTCCGACCTTAACACTACCACAACCTCCACCGTCCGCCGTCAGTTAGAGAGCGATTTCGGAATCGATTTGTCTGATCGAAAAGCGTTCGTTAGAGAACAAGTAGACTCGTTCCTTCAAAGCGTTAACCAACATCAAGAAGAAGATGAACCGCAAAACGACGACGCTGTTGAAGATGCGGGTAAACCAGAACCAAACCAAGGTTCTGGTTCGAAGGAAGAAACCGAAGAAGAAGGTGGTGATAATGAGGAAAAGGAAGAGGCGGAAGAAAAACCTAAGCGAACCAGAAGTGTGAAGAAGAAGAAGAAGAAGACCAAGAGTAAAAAACGGTTAGTTAGTTTCTGTTTGTTGTTTCGATTGAAGAAAAAAACAAAAAAAAAGTGTTGCATTTGATTTTCTTTCATTTTATATTCTTTGTCATTTTTCAATTTAGTCTTTGAATTTTTTTTATAGTTGTGATTCGCCATTGTTTGAATGAGATTTGCTCTAAATGGTAACGAGTTATTTAATAAATGCACATGGCTTTGTTTTGTGATTGAGGTCCATTGGTAGTTTGTATAGAATTTGGGTGCTTTTGAAGTTAGTGATGTGGTTGCTTGCTTTGCAGGTTTTCATCAACAAAAAGTGTACATTTTTAATCTTCTTACACCAGCAAAAGTGTTTGATTTTAGGTTTTTAAATGTATTTTCATCTTATTCTTTGCTTGACCTAATCATTTATTTTTGTTATTGTTATGTAATGGATGCTTTCTCTTTAGGTAAAGAGAATAACAAATCAAAATTTAATTTTTATGGCCTCTCTGGCCTTGACACTTGTTTAGAAATTATGTAAATTATGTTTCCAAGAAAATCTTGGAAACATTAGATCACAAAATTGGATATTCCAATCCATTCCACTCATCATATGGTAATGAGTTTAGTTTAGGTAATCATTGCTATGGTTAGATCCTTGAAGTGAAATGTTGATTGATACTTATGCACTTGCATAATTGCTTTCAGGAGAAATGTTCCTCACGTGACCTTTTTAAGTTGTAGAACTCCAAGTTAAACTCATTTCCTGCTTCAAATAATTAGTAAAGAAAATATCTTGTAATTCTTTTTTCTATATTTATCGTTGTGTTTATTTTGCTAGGCAAATATTTTCTGAAGGCTGACCACAAACCAAATATTTTCTGAAGGCTGACCACAAACCATATCCGTCTTTAGTTCAAAAGTACAAAATATATAGACTTACATTATTGTGGACCTCAAGAGTAAACCATTTTCCAAGGCACACAATGAAAAGTTTTGACAGCAAGTGTTAAGATTTTGATTCTTCTTATAATGCCCCGTGTTAAAATTTATTGCTTGAAGTAAACTGAAAAAGGACAAGGCAAAACATCTAAGAACAATTTATTCCAATTGCATATACTACTAACTGAACTTCATATTTGGCTGAAATTTGATTATGTTTGTTTCCATAGACTTCTTCAATCATACGAAGACCTTCATACATTCAGGATAAAAAGTGTTTTTACCTCTTCATCTTTTACCCTTTTTTACCTTAAAAAATTGAAGAGGAAAAATTTACATAAAGGTTGCGGTCTTGTTCCCAGCCAATATGGACAAATACCTATAGTTGTAAATATTTACTTTGGAGGAGGTACCCTTGTTTTAAAAGCTTCTGTTTCTTCTTGTACTTCAGATCTAACAAGTCAGGTGATGAGGTAGTAAAGAAAAAAGGTGGCGGTGGTTTGAATAAAACTTGTAGCCTGTCTCCACAACTTCAGGAAGTCACTGGAGCACCAGAGATGGCTAGGACTGAGGTATATATATTCTTTTCTTCTTCTTTCCCCCCTTTTTTTGGTTAAAAAATGTTGTAGCATCTATGTCCAGAATAGGCTGCTCCGTTACAGACTGTTAATAATGTCCAGATTTTTCTTTAAAAGTGAGGACACAACGTGATTATGATTCTCGCCTTATAGCATCTATATGTATAATGGTGACCTTAGGTTGTTAAGCAATTGTGGGCCTATATTAGGGAGAAAAATTTGCAAGACCCGGCCAATAGGCGAAATATCAATTGTGATGGACCACTGCGTGCTCTTTTTGGTGTCGATTCCATCAATATGCTCCAAATGAATAAAGTATTGTCAAAGCATATCTGGCCACTGGACTCGGATGATGGTATGCTCCTACAACCTTATCCTTCCTTCTTACTATTTCTTTTCTTATTTCAACATAAGACATTGGATATTCTTTTATATTGTTAGTTTCCGTTGTAAAGACCCCTAATCATTTTTAAAATTCCTCCAGGTGACCCTCATGTGAATGCAGGGGTTCTAATTTCACGAAATTCTGAAATCTTCTTTTTGAGATTTCTTGTCAAAGTAGTTGTTTTTTGGATCGTCTTCTAAGCGTGATATAATTATACTACTGCATTTTGAAAGAACTCGACTGATTTAAAATATGTTTTTCCATTCTACTTGTTAACTTTTATTGGACGACCCTGCAAATAGTTGCTCCCCTCTTTTGTTCTTGAAATAAATTATTTGCTGACAATATTGAATAGAAAGAAAAATTGAACTTCATCTCTTGATATAGTTATCCAGGTGAAGTCGACGCCAAAGGAAAAGCAGAAGAAGAAAAAGAGAGAAGATGATGGTATGATTAATTAACTTGGTTATGTTCTATACTGTTTTTTACATGATCACAGCCAAACAATCTTTTTAGTGAAACTTATGGTACATGGTTGTAATTTTTCTGCACCTGTCTACATGTTTACAAATGAAAATAGCCAGTTTTTTATACCATGTTTCCGGTGTCTATACACTACCCATATGACAGATTCAAATGAGCCGAAAGGAAAGGAAAAACGGCAGAAGGGAGGATCTGGAAAAGGTTTGCTGGTTCCACTTCAACTATCTGATGCCCTTGCGAAGTTCCTTGGAGAAAGTGAACTATCAAGATCTGAAGTCATTAAAAGAATGTGGGATTATATAAAAGGAAACAACCTTCAGGTTTGTTATTTCTCTAAATTGTCCTCCAGCCATAATATTGCTTAAATAAAGCTTTGATGGTTTCTGCACATTAGTGGTAATTTCCATGCTTAAAGGTTGAAAAGTCATTAAAATACTATTCATTTTGGTATTCAGTTGGGGTGCATTTAGAATGTGTGGAGGGTTAATGATGTAACTGGGCAATGCATAACCATGCCCAATGTTTAAATATTCAACTGTTGGCTGTTGACCCTCCACTTTTTCCATTTTTCTGTTATTACACCATAAAATAAATGCATACGTATATTTCATGTTAGGTTGTCAACCTAATCCAACCAATCCTCTTATTTGCTGAGTATCATAAGACCAGCTATAATTAAGAGACTAAAAAGTTGATGTTGATTTGACCAATGTTATTCAGATTCTTTCTTTGGTCAATTTTGATATCTGTCATGACCATTTTTTCCTTATCATAAAGTTGTACTCCCTCCGTTTCAAATTGACCGTCGTTTTACCAAATAAAATTTGTTTCAAAATGATTGTCATTCTCACTTTTCAATGTAGAAATCATTGTTATTTTTTCAATTGTGCCCTTTAATTATTACTTTTTACACTTCTTCCAACACATTTTAATAAGGTTGGTTTGGTAAAAGTGGAATACTTTATGACAACCTCATTGCATTTCTTAATAAGTGTGCAAAAACCTTAAACGATAATCATTTTGAAACGGAGGGAGTACACTTTTTCTGACCAATGCATTTGTCAATCACCAACTTTTCCCCACAATTAGCATGGAAATGCTAATTGCTAACTACCCTTTAGCTGCAAATAGCTTGAACTTATTGCGTTTCTGATTGATTGCTTTATGAAGGATCCTTCTAACAAGAGGCAAATAATATGCGACGAAAAGTTGAAAGAACTCTTTGGTGTTGACTCCTTCAATGGCTTCACCGTTACAAAACTTTTGGTGCCTCATTTCATAAAGACATAGCAGTGAGTTGCTTGCGCATTTAATATGCGGTGAGCTTGGGAAATTTGGCTAATTTTGTTTATTTTTCAAATTAGTTTTGGAAGGCCTTGTTTATGTATCTTTTCAGCATGGTCTGCAAACACGAGGAATAGGAATTAGTGTAGTGACAAGTTTTCAGTGAATTTTTATCAAAGAACTTAACGTTACCTGAAACATTTATCATTTCTTGTTTTTTTAAAATCATGTTTTGCTACTTGGCAGTGGAAAATTGTGTATATTTTTAGTTCCTGAAACTGCGAAGAGAATTCTGACTCCCATATTCTACTGATGAATTTATTGATAGTAGGAGGTAGTATGGATATTACTATTTAAAAAATTGATTATCCAGACTATACCTATCAAATTGTTAAGTTTCTCATGTGTGGCGTGAGGGTAATCGTAGGGCTCGTTGCTCTGTTATCACTGGAAGAAAAAACCCCCTAAAACTATCAATTATGGGCATTACTGGATGACATGGTATGCTATACTGGATTGTATAAAGAAATACGAAACAACATAGCAATGAAAGATACAAGTTATCACACTAGATGATGATATAACTAGACTAGAAAAGGTAGAAAAATAGAAAGCTAGAGATGAATTATCAATTATCATAATAAAAAATAGGACTGAAGAATTGATCTGAAATAAGTTGTACAAAAAGAAACATATATCTTATATTCCTTGGAAACTTGTGAGTTTTAGATTGTCATCACTACTCTAAGTTTAAAACCTCCCCAATCTCCCCTTATATATAACCAGTAAGAAAGAAACACGTGTTATCGCATGAGTCCCGTCTAAATTCATATTAAATGTAATATTGATTTGTATTTATAGATGCATTTAAATGAATAGTCTATAGATGGTATCTCATAGATACGTTTACATCTACTCGTGAATTTAAATGAATTAACTTTTTTATTATATTATATTTACTTTTTTTTTTTACACTCTACAATATATGACAACTCCTTGTTAAATTTTAATTTTAAAATATTTTTATTAAATTATATTTACAAAATTTACAAATCTAAAATGTATGATAGTACTACGTCAAAAATTAATAAACGGTGTAAATATGCAATGTATGACAATACCACATCAAAAATTAATAAACTATTTAAATATGCTCGTGCAAATTCAACGTGAAGATTAAAATCACACCTATAACCTAATCTTCAATAACAATTTAAAAAAAAATCATATATAAATTTATTATAAAAATTTATAAATAAAAATAGAAGTTAAAAACTAAAAAATATATCAATTTTTTATTAAAAACGTGAGAACGAATCAAAATTTTTTAAATTTAAAATAAAGATAATATTTTTGTGAATCAAATAAAATTGTAGATTAAAATCGTAATATAGTCTTTTATTTTCTAGACAAACCAAGTAGTGTAAAACTTTGTTTCTTAGTATATTATGTTAAGTTCCGTTGATTTCTTCCATTCATCGAGGTTGTTGCCAGTTTAAAAATCTGAAATATAGTTTGCAAAAGATGCTTCCCTGGAAAGGTATAGGGAATTAGAGATAGTTAGACCCAAGATAGTCTCTCAGAAGTACTTCATTAATTCTCAAAGATTTGACAAAGCAAATAGATGGATGGAACTCAACTTATAGTGAATTGTTTGGAAAGTTTACTCATACTGCCACTGATCAAATTCCTACTAATAAAAGGATTAAGTCGTTGTTGTCAATCGCGTAACGCAAAAATAGGCCTTGTTGTACAGTTGGAGAAAACTAATACAACAATTAACTGACTAATAGACTTTAGGTCATCAATTCGAGATTCAAATAATGAATAGTGTTCTGGACTGGGTCCGTCCTGGTCCAAAAGCAGGAACAAAGGCCCAATCCAAGCAGCTCCTCAAGGAACGCGCGCTCGCGGATTCCTGCCAGCGCGCCCGACCACAGACTGGAGTCGTACCCGCCGTTGCCCGCGACACATGGTTTCCCCGACCACGAGAACTCCAGCTCGAGCCCAGCTCGAGCACCCTCCTCGTAGGCTGATTCTGACCGTTACCAAATCATCCAAACTCCGGAAAGACCGCGTCTTCGTCCCTCCTCATTTCTCGCAGAGCATCACCAGGAAGGAGACCATGTGCGGATTCCCACTACACACGTAGAACCTGGCAGTTCCTTTATTGGGTCAATTCTGGACGGCCCAATGAGGGGACCTTGGCCCCGCGCTGGGGGCTATAAATACCCTCTGTTCCTAGAGGGTCAGGTAATTCATCTCTTACGCATACATACACATTTTGCATGCTCATTCTGTCACTCATTTTAGCATCGGAGTGCCTTGCAGGTACCCCCTCCCCCATCTCACTCAAATTCTGCCCGGAGCCAGTCGTGACAGTCCATGTCTGATCAGGTAAGATCAGTGGCGCCGTCTGTGGGAAACTAGCTTCCCCGTCTTGCAAAACCTCGAAGACCAAAGCTCAAAATCACCCCTACCATCATGGCTGACCAAGCTCGGGATGACCAAAACATCCGCGTCGTCGACACCAACAACGGCCTCGCAGACAAAAATGGAATCCCCGACAACACCGGTAACCCCGGCCATAACACGCTCCCCGGGGGCACCATCCCCGGGCCCTCAGTCCACTGTGACGGAGCTACTGCCTCATCTTCTTCAGTCCCTCCACCGCTTGAAGAAGACAACGCAGCTCCCACAAACTATCGAGCTGCCCAATTTCAAGAAGTCCCTGTCCCCGCCGGGACAGATGCCACAACCCGCGCACTTTTCGCGGCGATCAACCAGACGAATTACCTCATCTTTGCCCAGGGGGAAAGATTGAGGGCGCTAGAAGACGATAGAAGACCCTCGAGGAGACACAGGAGGCCCCAGACTCCACCTCCTCGAGTAACAGAGGTGCATCTCCCGTCCCCCCCCCCCCCCCCCCCCCCCCCCCCCGCGGAGACAATACAAAGACACCTCCCGAAGCCCGTCGCCCCGACCCTCGGGGAGACGACCCCCGTTGGAGAGGCAACCCACCATTGAGGCCGGAGGGCGCAACCATGGCCCCATACGACAAGAAAGAAGACACTTCGGAGACAGGCACATAAGAATTGACCAACGAGCACCACACTCGAGGGATGCCCAACACGACCAGGACCGTCGGGCACGACAACATTTCAGGTCCCCATCCCTGTCCCCGGAACGAAGTGACGAGGACGACCCCCGCGGTCCCCTGTCACAAGCCATCATGGAGGCGCCCATTCCCCCGGGCATGGAGAAGCCTCCACATCTGAAGGAATACGACGGAGTCGCGGATCCAGTCGACCACATAGATGGGTTCGAGGCTATGCTGCACTACCACAACGTTGAGGGACCCATCAAATGCAGGTTGTTCCCCACGACCCTCAGAAAGGCATCAATGGATTGGTATAAAGGCCTCGCTCCGGGATCAATCACCTCGTGGCGAAACCTGAAGAACCAATTCATAAGTTCGTTCACTGCGTCTCAGCGACACCCAAAGACCGAGGCAGCACTCGAGGCCATCATCCAGAGACAGGATGAAACCTTGAGAGAGTTTATTAATCGCTTCAATCGTGAAGCCATACAGGTCCCCTGCGCGGACCACATGAAGAGGTACTTGCTGGAGAGGGGGCTCCTCCCCGGCACAGAATTCAGAAAGGCAGTGGGCATCGAACCGCCCCGAACATTCGATGCCCTCCTCGAGAAGGCCCGGGCATATATGGATTACGAGGAAAGGGAGGCGGCCAACAGAGCCCGGGACCCCAGAACTCGCGGATCCAGCAGCAACCTGCGCCAGGAAGCCGCCCCTCCTCGACGAGCCGGGGAGAAAAGAAAAGATGACAGACCCTGAGAAGTCCAAGAGCAAAGAGGACCCTCAGGGCGTTTTACCGAATACACTCCGCTCACAGCTTCCTGCGAGCGCATTTTGGCGGAGTGTGCCAACACGAATTTTAAAGACGGCGGCGTCAAACGCCCCCGACCTGCTCCTGCCAAGCCGAGAGTAGATAAGAGCAAGTATTGTCAGTACCATAGGAGCCATGGTCATCTGACCGAAGACTGCGTCCACCTCAAGGACGCCATCGAAACCCTCATCAAGGGAGGGAGGCTCGCCCAATACCGACGAAACGACGCTCCTCGTCGTGACGTCCGGGAGGCAAGAGAATCGGAGGAAGACGCCCGACCATCTGACGAGTCGGTCCCCGTCCAGACCGCCTTCTCCGTCACCAGACTGGAGGACTTCAGCGTCCCCGAGAACCTGCAGGAGCCGCTCACGACACACAGCAGGTGGGAATACTTTCCCTCCGCCATGGACATCAATGGTGGAGAATTCAACGACCTAACTATCAATTCGGCCAAGAGAAAGCTCGATGAACTGGTCGACTCGGCACCTCCGCAGACAGTGACCTTTGAAAGGGTAAAAGGTAGGTCGGAGCCTATCACCTTTTACCTCGAAGAGCTCCCCGGAGGAGCCCCCATCGCAGTCATTCCTCTACTGATAAGAGCGAGAATGGATAACTTTGATGTGCACCGCATCCTCGTCGACGAAGGAAGTTCCGTCGACGTGATGTATAGTCAGTTATTCCGGACTCTGCAGCTGGACGACTCTCGCCGTATGTAGGGTCAGACTTACAGGGCTTCAACGACTCGACCTCCAAGCCTTAGGGATATGTCAAGCTCATGGTTACCTTCGGCGAGGGCACGACGACGAGGCAGGTTAAGGTACACTTCCTCGTTATCGACTGCGCGTCCCTCTACAACTGCATCCTGGGGAGACCAACACTGGCAGAACTGACCGCGGTGCCCTCCACCGTCCACTTGAAGATGAAGTTCTACACCAAGAGGGCACGGGTGGCTACCATTCAGGGGGACCTAGCCGCTGCTCGAAGGTGTTTCAACGCCGCATCTAAAGGACGCGACACTGTCGATACCGGGACAAGGCCCACCAAGAGACCGACGACGACACGACAGGAGCCCGACAAATCAGAGCCCGCCAAAGTAGA